AATTTATCTTGCCTTGCAGTATCCGACAGGAAAGTCAAAATATTGCTTACGATAACACTGATTGAACTCATCATGAAATCTAGAACGACACTGCCACACCTAGACAAGGGAGAGAGGGGAAAGAGTACCTTTACACTTTTACATATTTGTACTTTGGTGACTTTTAAGTGTTAAAATACGCTAAGATTTAGTATTTATAATGTAATAAACCAAGGTAAATGACATGAATTGTATTTGATGTCGTCCTATGTCAGTCTACAGCTGTACATTATTGTTTAAATAAGACTTGCTGGAGCGGGAAAATCAGTATAAATGCTGAAGTTCCCCCCAGTGCACATATTTGCGTTAGCATTTATTGGTTCAACGTTAGAAGCAAACTGTACCTTACTTGGTGTTTAGAGTGTTGACGGATGAGTAGCCAAACCTAAGGACAACTTGACATGCCAAAAGTACATTTGATGATATTAGTCTATCGCTGCGGAGTTAAAAAATATATATATTCAAACGCTTGCTTCATTACTGAATGACGTTAAAAATGTCATGTGATGGACCAAAAGGTAAGGATTTCATTCAAGAACAAAATAGATTAAAAACTCCTATTCATTGTTATGGAAAAATGAGTATCTTGAAATTTCCAGAATGCCTAGTCATGCCGACAAGCATACCATGGAACATTCTAGAACATCCTATTAGTTCATTTATTTAAGATGCAATATTACCAAAATGATTGTGTTGTAAGCTTCAGGAATGTTCTAGAATACTTTTTAGATAATACCTGGATTTCAATTTCACATCAAAGAAATCAATTCCAAACATCAATAAAGTTTTCTCTTAAGTTTAGAAGTTGAGTTGATGTTCTTATTGGCTTTATTAAATGGGTTGAAAGGTTTTAATTGGTATTTTCTCATGTTTGCGAATAACTGAATTTGCTGGAAGGTGGAGTTGTTGCAACATGTTAACATGAAACGCAACAATAAATTATATTGATATGTAAAAAGTTTTCATTTGACTAACTACCGGCTAGTCTTTGTATTATATCTCAACCCAACCATTTCCACAACTTGTGAACACTATTTCAAAAGAATTAGTCAGGGAAATGGAAAATTTGTAGCATATACACCATGTTTGGAATGCCATGTCCATAATAAGCTGACAGGATTTGAGGAGGGCGTATGTGGGAATAGGTTCTGTTGTCTGTATCATTAATTTGCTACTCGCTCTTGTTGCCAATGTTTTGATGAGGTTGGGCTGTCAAAGCAAAAAGACTTAGGATTTTAATAGGCAGTGACTTTTTCCAAACCTGGAAACTATCATCATGAAAGCCATACTTGTGCCTGGTAACTTATTCCTATTCTGATAAACTAGTTTTAAGAAGGATACAATATTTTATTACATAAACATGATGAATAGGCTGTGCACAAAAATTTGATTTGACTGAGATTTTTAGAAAGATTATTAGAAAAAGAAATGTGTACTAATGAAAAAGTTAAGCAAACTTTTTTACAACATCTGCCTGTTCCTGTTCAGCAAGTAGTAAAGTCATTCAAAGTAGTCAGTGTCCCGGTTCTATGATGATGTGATCGTATTTTCATCAAAGAGAGAATCTAGCAATATTGGGCAAAGTAACCAGTGATTGGCAGATGGTTGTTAAGGGTTGTCCCCAAGGTTCAACTTTTGGACCCCTTCTGTGGAATATTTTCCAAAATGATTTATTATTGCATTTTTATCAAATTTGTAACATACCGTATGTGTTAAAGTGTCCCCAATTAGTGCCTTGGCGCTAGAACGCTTAGACACAGAAATTAAGGTTATGTATGTATGGATGGATGTATTCGAGCAACCGTAAACGGCTTAGTTTTCAGTGTTTCATCGCGCTCTAAAGGATGGCGCTTCTAGTGGACCAAATATGCGATCGGTATTTTCTTTTGGCTCAAGACATCGGATGAACATTACTTTGCGACTCTCAATCTGATCGAGTTAAGCACACAACGGATCTTACTGCGCTGCGAGAATATCGCACGATCCTCTCGGAGTGGTGTAACATCTTTTAGGGCTTCTTTTATGTTTCATAAGCGAAGCTCTTCGAACTCTTCAAACGGCCCAAAATCTGTTGTGTCTAATGGCTCATATTTCCTTAAACGTCCAGATGCCGCGGCGACATTCACTAGACGAGGATATCATTGAGAACAGTTCGCACATCAAAACTTGAGTAGGATTGACTATTTCCACAGTAGATTAAGTTGATTTTATTTTGAGGTTTAAAAAAGGTGTGATATCGGCGGGACACCATACGGGAAACACAGCCAGGGATCACGATGAAGACTTTTTAGTTTGCATAAATTGACGGACTTGGCTTTTGTTGACGTCGAATTAAGTGTACTAGAATCCCGAGCCAATCATATGCTGTTATTTAGCATGCTATATTTTTAATGATGTCCTTGCTTGCGTACATCCTAATATGTTCCGCTTAACTACTATCTAATAGTCAAAACAATTTTACTTACCATTTGAGCATTTAACAAAATCCACAAACTAAATCGCACCTTCTAATTAATTGTATGAGCATCAAACATCGTACACGTAAATATTATCGCAAAAAAATTTATTTCAATTTTAGTCCGATATTGGAATGTTTGTTTGAATTATGTCAATTGGAGCTTAAAATTGATTTTTTTTATCCTGACATGCGGCCACGCATGACCGATTTTTTCAACCTCACAACTGCACTTGTAATTTATTTGCTTTTAACCTTCGCTGCAAAAGATGTTGGAAACTTCAATAACCGTGTTTCGAGGCTGTTTTGGTTTTGCCTTACTCCTAATAGTTCTCAATGCACCACAAACTCGTACGTATCTATTTCATATACCTCAAGTTCCATTTTAATTCCTGGGAAGTTCTCTGTGGTCGTTTATCAATATGTTTTCAAAATAATTAAGGTTGCCGTTAAAGCAAATGGTTTTAATAGTAGTTTAATGCCTTTAGCATTCAGCATGGATGTATTGTTTCTTTACCTGATATCATTTCAGGGTCCGTTACGATTACAACCAAACCGCGCAATCCAACAGACGTTGTGGAAGGATTGAACAGTGGAAGAGTTCTACTTGTTTGGAAATTCACTCTTGATTCTAGCGAAAATTTGCAGAAAATTACCATCGGAAGAAGGAGACCCGATGGAAATCAAGTAACAACAATAGCTACGAGACCGGACGCTAATTCCTCTCTCAGTGTAGATGGTAAATTTAGAGTATTCTACAATGCAAAATCTCCGGCAACCCTAATCTTAAAAAACGTGAGAAGAACAGATGATTACGTATACTGTCTTGAGATATTTTATTCTGATGGTATTGGCAACGGTCGGACGAAAACAGACGTTCGTGTTCGCGTGTTTGGTGAGTATGAAACCACTTCCCTTATCTTTGTTACTCATGCGGTTGAAATGGCTGTTTTTAAGTCTTCAGAGATAAAATTAGGAACGTATTTCTGTATTTCTAGGTATTCGTACTACATCAATTGCAGGGTTTCGTTAGAGATAATAAAGTGCAGTTGTTACGTTTCTTGATCGAGGGTTAAACCGCAACAAGGGAAAACCGTAGCGTCACAGGAGAAATCAGTGAATATTAGCTGTGGATGTTATAGCAACATAGTAAATATCTAACTCAGAGGGAATATATATAAGTGATGTTTCCTGATATTGGACATTAAATATTTTTTTGAATGACGTGGATGAGATGGAATGTAGATTTTCCCATTGCGTTGAACTATAAATATACTGCAAAGTAGAACACACGTCAGAGGTTTGCGTCAGTAGTGTGTGTTCTTTTTTTTATTTTGAGAACTTTCTAAGTTCATGTACTAAAATTAACTCAATAATAATCCCTGCAATTTTAATTGTTTCCAAACTTTACAGAGCTATTTGCTGCTTTAATTTGGAGTTTGTGTGCCGAGTGCCTCGGCGCCTCTATGATTTTTATCAACTAAGAGCACCAAAAAAATTATAGAGAGATTAGCAAGCATATCTTGTTTTGGGTCTGTTTACAACATCAACTTTAAATAGAGTTAACACTTTTAGGGTAATGGAAATGACGTCTTCAGTTATGCCTGTTGCTCAATTCCAGTCCACCAGTTGGAACTTAATTGTTTGCTTGTTTGTTTGTTTTTTGGAATTTAGTCATGGTTTCCAATTTTAGTATGCTGAAAGAAAAGAAATTAGGATCGGTAGCCAGATTTTATTTCATACCCTCAATGATGTTAAAAAATGATAAAACCTCAAAATAAAAGGCGATTCATAGCGACGTCCGCATGATGACGAATTTCATCTTCAGCCCAACGAAAGCTATTAGCGAAGAAGAAATACCATGATAATACTATAAGGGAAGCAGTAAGGTTTCTTCGCATGATTATGCTATACTTGTATGCTACATCTGTCTTTTTCCAGATGTGCTAATGTCTCGACGCTAAGAAAAAAAATTCGATTGTGGTGAAATCGAACAAATAAAGGCAGGAACAACTAAAACGACCACACCATAATTCCTGATGCCCATAATCAGCTGTAATGAATACCATCTCTGACAATTTGAGACGAAATCGGTTATTCCTTGAAAGCCGGATGAAGGTTGCTTCAATAAAGACAGAAAAGGAAAAAAAAGGAAACGTCTAACCGCCTCTTTCTTGCGATTTTTTGACTGCCCACTAAATTGTGTTTCTTTACTAATTTAATTATGCATCAACCTTTGTCTGCTAAGCGTACTCAAAAGCCCTTTTCTCTGCTAACTCTTGCTGAAGAATATTCTTCCCGTGTCTGGTACTCTTGTGTGCATTTACTGAGAGAGTAGATATTTGTGTTCATTTTGCTTTTACTCCCTTCATTATCAGCCCCTCCAAGTATTACCAACGCGCCAATCGAGAGGGTACATGTAGAGGCTGGAAAAGATTTAACGCTGACATGTAATGCCTCCGGTGATCCCCAACCGAATATCACCTGGACCAAAGATGGCGTCCCAATGAGCTTCTCTAGTGACGCCTTTCACCAGTTTCGTCTTACTGACGTACAGAGCGAGGATTCAGGATCATACAAATGTACAGCCAGTAACGGATACGGCAGTGATGCAACAACTGTTAGCAGAGTCGACGTAAAACGTGAGAACTGATGTAAAACCCAATTCATTGCTCTACCAATTAAGTTGGGATATGTTTCACATCGTTCCCTAGTGTGTTTTTAGCCTTTGCGTTGAGATGGGATTATCATTTTTCTTATTCTTACAAAATAGTCTTAGGAAAAATCTCCTTTGTACCTTCCCCTCATTTCTTCGTTCCCCCCTTGAACCGGGGTTCTCATTTCACATACAAAAAAGTGCCCCTTAGTGGACATGACTGGGGCAGAATTTTTGAAGAATCCTGATATACGTTTTAATAAATCCAAAGCTCACCTTTCCATCTCCTCTAAATTTATTTAGATGTGGACACGCCATACATTTATTTCATAGACTAAACAGTTTTTGGTGTCATATTTAGTACCGCCGAGAATAATCCTTCCTTCAGTTAGAGAAGCAGAGATCAAAATTGGAGATGATTTCGTCTTGGTATGCTACGCATCTGGTGACCCAACACCCAACATCACTTGGACTAGAGAGGGTTTCTCAGCGATTGAATCTATTGGTACCGGCAACTTTCTGCGACTTGTTAATGTGAGCAGAATGAGTGCAGGATTATACAGGTGTACAGCTGGTAATGGATATGGGAACAATGCTACCAGTCTCACCATAGTCAGCATTATATGTAAGTGTCTTATTTTGTTTGTGCTGGATATAAGTCTTAGTGATGCTAGTTGATGCGACGGAACTTCTGTGTATTTTGCTTTACATTGTTCACGACATACGAACAAATAACATCATGGAATATCTCCTTTTATGATAAGGTTCGGATATGGCACACGCTTTCATTAGTTGAAAGAGCTTGTTATCAGACTACAAAACACGGAGCTGGGCGAAAGCTATCACGCCATCTGCCAATTTGTGGAGTGTCTAACCATCACTTGGACTTCTCTCCGGCTTCTTTTTCGTTAGCCGGCAAGTAGCAACAGTAGAACCTAAAAATGGTTTTTAAACATCCCAAGCGCCGTAATTGACGTTATTATAACATGAGGACGGACGAAAATCATCAAAGAAGAAACGAAATAGACTGTCCAAGTTTTAAAGTTTTTACGCTCAGTGAGATTGTAAGCTTACGTAAAGTGTATATGATTTCGTGTTCAAAAACAAACAGAACAAAACAAGAATAACGAAAAATATAAGCAAACTGGCGTAACTGTTAAAATTTACACAAATAATGATGGTTTCTGAGCTACTTCGGTCATGTTGTGTTCCATCGCGGCTAGTTCATCATGGCGATCTCCGGTGGCCACAAGTGTTACCACGTGCAGAAATTGTGGCAAGAGATCGTCTTATTTAATAGACACATTGCTTTTTTGCAATTTTTGTGACTTCCTGTCTCGGTAATCAATGTATTATTAATACTTTCGATGAACTCTAAGAAATCTAGGAAATTGCTATTGGGGAATTTATGCAATAATGTTTTGAAAAGAAATGGAAACGCTCATACTCTATCTCGACATAGATACAATATGTAAATTTTTGCAATTTTTGTGTGACAGGTGGTGAAAAATGTGAGCCTCGCAAAGTTGGACTAACGCTCACAAATGAAACGTGGACGCAGTCTTTATTAAACCGGGATTCTATTGAGTTCAAGACCTTAGAATATAACATTTTGTCAGCAGTGAGTACAAAGTAAACGATATAGAGGTTAGGCATAACGTCTTTTTAGCGATCCCGTAAACGTTATGATAAAACTCAGTAAAGAAAGGTTTGAACGTCATTTCATGGTCATAGCGTTCGATGCGAAGTCTTTCTTAAACCACGAGCTACCTAGCTCTCTTTCTCGGATCAGTAGCTGATTGCATGATTCACAAGAAAGGAGTGATTAAATTACGTCTGTGTCGATTCAGTCATTTCCCCTCTTGCTTTTGACACTTGCGGGATTCCAGCTGGGAAAGAGGGGCTGTTTCTAGTCTATAGTCTCACCTGAAGAAGCTTCTTTGGGGAAATCGGTGGATGACATCCCAATATGCTGCCAAGAAGGGGACTAATCGAGGCTAAGCTAGAGGTGGGGAAACAAAAGTTTTGGCGGCATTGAAATTTGGGTGTGAACTTATCTCGCTTTGATTAGGTTGGCTGTGAAGACACTTTAGATAAACTTGTGCAGGTTTATAAAGGTACTCATGGGCAATTGATGGAATACAGTATTACCTCAGTCACTTTAATAGCTGCTCATTGCAAATAAATCTTCCTCTAAAACATTTCTATATCATTCACTCTTCTAATCGACAAGGTTCTCATTGCTGTATCCGTCAACGCACAACTTGAATAATAATCCATTCCGTGTCTTTAGATCTGGAATGTTTACGCGCAACAGTCTGGAAAGGAGCTTTACAAAGTGACAGTTGTGGAATTTAGGTTGGTACATTCTCTTATGTTCTTGAACCGGTTTCTATAAAGGAACTTTAACGTTATATCGCTCTGTTAGGAATAGAAATCGTATTCTTATTTCCTTTTTAATTCGGTTTAGGCCTGGTAGTGTCGTTGCCATTGTTAGGCTTATGTTTGGAAAAGGGGCGAGTGATCCTTTGAAACCAATCCAAGATGAAATTTCGGATGGAAGATTGTCTTCTCTCAAAGTCAATACTGTATTGGATGTGAATCCAAAGGATCCAGCTACAACAACAAGTACACAATAATACTCCGTTAAAACCTTTTTAGTTTTCTAGGGGAAGTCGGTTAGTAGAGTTTGCCAGGTGTGCTAGCTGTATCCAAGTGCATTAACTGTGGTGTACTCGTATCCAAAAATAAGCAAAGAGTTGTCATTCTAGACGAGAACGTACGAAGCTTCTACACTTCCTTTTCCAGAAAGCTTTTTAAAATTTGACTGTCAAACAAGATATAAACGAACAGAGCTACAAGTTAAAAAGAAAGACCGAAACGAAACCAAGCAAACTGATATACCTTTTTGAAATAAGGAAGACGCAAAGCTATTTTAAGATAAGTGACAATTTTTTGTCACCGTGAATTATCGAGAACCTGTCCTTAGGAAACAAGACTTTCTACAATTACCATCAGAAAATTTAAAGCTTATAGTTAATGGTTACTGTCTTTGTTCTGTAGAAAATCAGACGGAAACTTCGAAAGCAGGTGAGTGATATTTTGTGTCATTTTTTCGGTTTTTCAGTTTTAAAAGCCGATGCACTCAAGTAGGCTTTTCATGCCATGCTACCTGATTAAATGCGCATCAATGCCTATTCTCTTTGGTTAATATTAGGTTGTGTTTTAGAGATTTCATCCCTTAGGCATCTATAAACAATTTTTTCATTGATAAGAGAATACAGATATAGAATACAGATATTTTCTTAGGCTGTAACACCTTAAGTACAATTCCACTGCAATATGTGTGGCATGAACAACCATAAACGTCGCTTTATTTAAAATAGATCGTTACTTTGTTAGGTTTCGATTGGCTCAAGGAGGGAACCATTCTTCATGTTGTGTATTCAAGTGTCATTTTTGTCCTTTTGGTGATTTTCTTTGTGGTCGTTATCTTGCTATGGAGGAGGCGTAATAATCCAGGTACTCCTTTATACGCTTTGAAGTGTGCTGTTGTGTGATTTGTTTGGTGAACTCCTTCAGTGTTTGGTTTCTTGTTCTCTGATTTTATTGGTTTTTGTTTACCTCAGTTAAATAAGTTAGCATGTGATAAACGTAATACATTACTGATGAAAAAGCCTTTTGAGGTTATTTAAAAATTCAGGTCACAGAGGTATCCGAGACCTTAGGGCTGTCTTTTTTAAGTAGACTTGAGAGAAAAAGTCTGCTACCCGTTTTGCTTCAGTAATGGATAAATTTAGGATACTGATTTTTTTGTTTCGTAGGTCCTTCGACTGAAAATGCGAGGTAAGTACAGACAGTATTCTGTTTGTATCATGGTGTTTTATTGTTTCTAGATGCAATCATATATTTGCAAACATCTCGCTGAGCATGCTCACTGACGGAGAGAGCTCATTAGATAATCTCAGACAACGCGGACGATTGGATTGGAGTAAAAAAGTTGGAATTTTTGGGCAGAAATTTGAAATTGAATTGGTTTATTGTTTGTTGTGAGCAAGAAATCAGATTGTACCATAAAGTGTCAGGGGACATGTGTAATATTTTCAGTATTTTAAAATTTACTTTGCTTATGTATTCCTAATTGGAATGAACTAAATAACGTGTAAAGCTTCATTCGAGGATTTGTTCATGTAGTGGAATATCGCTCACTCGACTTCTATCAGTTCGAACTTTCTGGCTAACTCAAATTGAAAGTAATTTACATCGAGGTACATTTTTCACTCAGTTACTATCTATGGACTTGATCGCCCAGGTATCTCGCATAATGTTAGTTTTCATTACGGCTAAAATGAATTTTTTTAAGTTCGTTTTGGTTGTTTGGCCCCTCATTTTGATTAGTGCCGGGTATTATTATTAATTTTAAGAAAGTAACGACTCCGCGTCAAGGTCTACCACTATGCTGCCCATATTTATATACAACATGTTCATTCTGGATTTTTTTCAGTTGCCGTTATCATCGCAAAAATGCTACGGATAATCAGGTAAATATGGAGAATTTTCGATGGAAAGAGATGAAGTCTCCAAGTGCCTTGTTGTTATCAGACTTCATGATCACTTGTCAGGTGTTTCGTTACAGTCACCGTTGCATTTGGTTTTCGTCATTTTTTTCACTTCGCTTTTAGGATCAAGGGAACCCAGTTCAGGCCAGTGAAGCATACGTGAATATCTCCGAACGTCTGATTTTGAGCGAAGAGGAAACGGTAGTTATTCAATCGTCGCCATCAAGTAACGCAGTACCAAGAAGAAGACATCAAATGGACTCTGAGTATATGTCAATTAAGGGAATAACAGCAAAGTTCAAGAAATGGGAAGTAAAACGGGAAAATGTTCAAATCTCGAGAGTTATTGGAAAGGGTGCTTTCTGTCAGGTTGCTAAGGCAACTGTATCAGATATTAATGGAATAAAGGGAGCAACAACTGTGGCAGTTAAGATGCTGAAAGGTATGTTGCGGAGACAAGTAGTTGGTACCTATCATTTAAATCGTAATTACAGAACAGGTTATCAATAAATCAACAATTTTTACAAGGAAAAAAGCGAACTTTGAAAAACATACATGGCAAAGCGGCTCTTTCCTGTAGGAATAGTTTGTTGCGTACTCTAAGAGTGGCATTCCTTATTCGTATGAGAACATTTCGTATGAGCACATTGTATTCTATGCAACTACAAGTCTCAAACGTGAAAATGAATCAGTAGAATAGACGTCATCTGGCTTAACTTTTATACACCTCCTCACATGCTTATGTGTAATGGCAATGTTTTTCTTTATTTTTGATAGAAAATGCCCCGGATAATGACAAGAAAGATCTACTGTCAGAGCTGGATTTGATGAAGAAACTGAGGCCTCATCCTCATGTCATTAAACTGATGGGATGCGTCACTAAAACTGGTAAAATAGGAAAAAGATATTGATGACACTTTCGTTTGTTCCGTCAAATCTAAATTTTAGTTAAGTTTCATGTTGAAACAAAGGGTTATTTTGCAGATCCTTTGCTTGTTCTGATTGAATACATACCTTATGGTGATCTGTTGGGTTACCTAAGGAAGAGTCGCGGCCTAAATGACACATACTTTAAAGATCCGGATGTTAAACCTGAGACCAACCTAACCTCAGAGCAACTGATACAATTTGCCCTGCAGATTGCTGATGGAATGAACTTCCTTTCTGCTAACAAGGTATTCACGAAGCGTGTGTCAGTGTAGCACCATGTTTTCCACTCTGAAAAAGTGTTAGGTCGTAGCAAAACTTTGCTCTGAAGGATGATTTGGAAGGTAAAAGTAACCCCTCGATGCTAATGAACCACAAATTCTCTGATTATGGCGAAATTACCTGGTTTGTCATGTTTATCAAGGCTGAATTGTTGTGCACAATGATAAACCATACGGGCACGTACTTTTTTCACTCCCCTCTTCCCCAGTGCAAAAAAGGGAAAAACAACATGTAAAGAAAATATTATTCCTTTCGTCGCAAGCGTAAGACTGGGAAAGAAATCCAAGTCCTCTATCGCATCTAATGTATGGAGTTAGATCGGAGCTATGTAATTCTCATTTCCTGTCCCCCAAACCTCCTCGTCATGGCGTCAGAAGTTTCTGTTTCTCGTGTTATCTTCGTGGCTTGTCTAATTTCGCTTCTTGAGTCACTCCACATTTCGTGGCGTCGAAAGGTAATTTGTGTCGTCGAAAAGTAATTCGTGTCGTAGCAGTCACTGCTTGTGACCAGCGGTAAGCACGTTTTTAATCGTTATGTTGTGTATCGTCTCTTTCTGTGAAAATGTCCTTTAGCACACTGAGTTATCATTCAACTAACTTTAACTCTTTTTTTTAAGAATGCCATTTCTAATGTTACTTGAACGCTCGAAAGTGTACTGTTTCAGTAATGACTGCAACGAAATTGATTATGCTTTGTACTAGATGGATCATTTTCTAACGTTGGGCATTCAACGTTAAATCGTTTGGAAAGGCACCTATGTTGCTTGCATTATGTATATTTGCCTTGAATACACTTGCAACTATCCTTGTTTTAAGATGGCTTTGACAACCATCCTCTCAGATCTAAATCAAACATGGCACCTGCTCAACTCTGGACGTATGGTGTATTATTTGGACCAGGATGTATTATTGAATTGATTTTCATGATCCTCCACCTTATGAAGAATATGATAGGGAAACATGGAAAGAGGGGACGATTGAAGTTCCAGAAATACCATGACCCTTACCTAGAGAGTCTTTCAATCTTTTTAAATCACAAGTTAACCCACTTGATCGATCTGATTGTCATGGACTAGACCTTAACATCAAAGCTGTAGAGATTATTCATGGCTTGTTTTTTACAAAATCGAGTACAAGAATAGAATTTCTGCTCGCTGAAAAGAGTTTGAAATATAACAATTATTAAGCAAGAAAACAGAACAAATTTTGGAGATGAAATGAGTGAAACAACTAAATAAGCTATGCGTATACACTAGTATGATCAAAGGTGGAATGAGTACGTGAAATGGTAAAATTTGTCGGCAGTCTAGTAGCACAACCTAGCCCTAAACTTAGAACTTTTGAACATTAGGATTAGGGTTAGGGCTAGGGTTAGAGGTAAAGGCAAAGTTAGGATGGCATAATCCACAAAAATTACGCCATTCCACCCGTCATGCCCTTCCGGAAACTCATTCTTCCTTTTATCCTTACCTTGTATAAACATTATTTTGATGTTCATCAGAACTAAATAAAAGTAACAATGTAACTAGTTTCATTAATAGTTAACAGTTCTAGCATTCTCCACAATGCATGCTTGGCGGGGTCCAAAATCTATATGGCCTCTGAAACTGTTTTAATTTCAGCAATCAGGCCGATGAATATATATTTTTTTCATCATATATGGGGAGAGACATTATTGTGGTAGTCGTTGACTATCAATTTCATAACTTGAACAACACAGCAGTGATGTGTACCTCTCATTCACAAGTCAAGAACATGCAAAATTTGTAAAACAAGCGAGGCCGTTTAACAGCATTCAATAACATAAATATTTTGTTTTGAATGCCTTCATCTGCTGTATCCAATGAAACAAAGCCTAGACAATACCAAAACCAAAACACTCCTTTAGCATTGAGATACCAGCCTTTGTCATTGATTCAAGGGAGTTGATATGATGAGGCAAATGCAAATGCAAGTCACAAGTTGAAGCACTTGGCCGACATTTGCAGTTTTCTGGACATTCAAAAACAAAAGAGAGCATGATGGGTGTTTGGAAGCCAAGGGCTGGTTTTTGCTGACAACCGGTAATTAATTTTAAGATATCCTCAACAGAAAGTTGGCATTCAGGAATTCCTGAATGTACAGTATGAAATCTACTTTGAGAAATTTTTTTTTAGTTGTGTTGCATATTACTGCAATTCAAAAAAGAGCTTAAGCTCAAGCCAGAAGTTGTCGTTAGAATCTATTAGTTGATTCACACAAATATTCAAAGAGGAAAGCAAAAAGAGTTGAATATACGGGCATTCGTACAGTGTAGTCAAAAACGCAGATAACTATATACCTCTATCAAGAGGTCAAGAAAGAGATCAAACACAGTGCTTTCCAAACGGTTTAACATTGAATGCACAACGTTAGAAAATGATCCACCTGGTACAAAGCATAGTCAATTTCGATGCGCTCATTACCGAAACTGTTACACTTCCAACGTTCGCACCACATTAAAAGTGGTATTCTTCAATTAATTAGTTGAATGAGAACTCAGTCTGCTAAAGGACATTTTCCCAGTAAGAGGCGATACACAACATAACCATTAAAGACGTGCTTACCGCTGGTCACAGGCAATGACTGCTACGACACGAATTACGTTTCGACGCCCGCGATATGTGGAGTGACTTAAGAAGCGACGTCAGACACGCCACGAAGATAACACGTGAAACAGAAAATTCTTCCGACGACATGACGAGGGAGTTTGGAGGACAGGAAAGGATGTAGGACGAAGTATAAATCGACGACACGAACAAAGGATGCCAATTTTGTCCCCATCTTACTCCATACTAGTAGACGAACTACCGACCCATAGAAAACTCTTTGGTGAGCAAGATAAGTTCATTTATGACAACGTTCCGCATACTATTAGGATCAGTCATGTTGAAAGTGTCGTGTGAAAGTAAATTTAAAAGAAAGATGGTATATCTCCAGCTCTGCCGTCGATTAGAGAAAGTTTTTGGTTTTTGACAATTGGATGACCGAACTCAGAACTTACCGATTTTCCTGTTCTGAATGGCTCCATTTTTTAAATTACATTACATCCATGTGTCAGATCATCCACCGTGACTTAGCGGCCAGAAATGTTCTTGTCGGGGAAGGAGAGAAGTGTAAGGTGACAGACTTTGGAATGGCGAGGAATGTTAACCAGGATGATATCTACAACAAAACAAGTCGGGTAGGAAACTGAGTTACTCCCTTTTCTCTTTTAATTCGCCTCCATTTTAGAAGAGTTTTTTTCGCTCTTACATCAATTTCTACTTAGGATATCGTACTTTGGAAAGTTCACCAATTCTCCTCTGAATGAAGGAAGAAATCGATATGGATTTAATATTTCTGTTGTGTGATTTGAACAGGGCCGTCTGCCAGTAAAGTGGACCGCCTATGAGGGTTTAGTATATGGAAAATACACAACGCAAAGTGATGTGTAAGTATTCCCTCCTTTAAGATGCTCTAAACATAGTCATCTGGGTATGACTCAACTTCAGGTCCGGATTTTGGTCATTATAATTTCTAAGAAGTCCTACAATGCACGCAGATTCAAATATCTTTTTATTTTCACTTCCACTTTCATTTTGTCACAAAAATTTCGCTTAGGTAAAATTAAGATTAGCAGTTAGGTTTGACTTGAGCAAACGTTCACCACAAACGGGATCACAAAGATTTTATGCTGTATCCTGAAAAGAAATGAGCTCAAAGTTACCGGTATCCCTTTAACCATCGCAAGCATACCTCTTACTAGCTTAGTTCTCCTTCCTGTTTAGCTTCCCAGATAATGCGTTTTTTGGTCGTCATTTGAATCTTCATGCTTTCTAAGAAATGATTATGGAGACTATCTAGCGGCCTTAAAGGATGCTAGTTGATGTTGAAACTCATGCCGTTTGAGAACTTATCTCAGCAGGGAGCCTGAATTTTTTGCGTAGTTAAAAGAGCTATACTTTGCAGGAACTCAAGTTGATAGCCAAGCTGGTCACTCATTCTTGAACCATGTTTAAACATTAATATATAAAGACTTAACCTCTTTCCTGTCTCGATTTATTCATATTTCTTTTTTAAGACTTCAGGCTACGTGCAAAATCCCATAATAGATCTTGGCCGATGATGTCGGGACCACTGATTAAAATAAAATCTGTTTTCTAAGCAGCGAGAAAGTTAAAATCGCGAATTATCATATTTTACTAGACTCAGAGTGCTTCGCTGCCTCATGCATTTCATTGCTTTTTCCTTTTTTGTCATTTGCAGGTGGAGTTTCGGAGTTGTTCTGTACGAAATATTTACTGTAGGTACGTCTGAATCTAGCAAATATATAACAGTTTTATCGTTAAAACAAAGCACTATTTTGTATGGACCGGGGAAGAGGGGATAGAATTGCCGCAGTTTTTAAGTAAGTTTTGACGAGGTTGATATAGTGAGGTTCGTGATAAGACAATGAGTCCTGGAATGTCAAGAAAGTTACGTGTGTGAATATTATTCTTGCCTCATTACTTTTGTTTAAGCGTTCATTTTATGTCCATAGGTGGATCTCCTTACCCCGCGATTAACGCTCGCGAAATTGCAAAGAAACTTCAGCAAGGATACAGAATGCCAAAACCTAAACATGTTGATGAACAGCTGTAAGTGTTCTGCTGCTATTGTTTTTAATCCTTGTTACCACAGATAGCAATAAGAGGTATAAGTGTTTGATGCCCTGTCATTAATTTATGACCATTCAACTGAATCAATACGTTTTGGTATGACTCATGCCATCATCCGTACTGTTACAGTAAGTTAACCGGTAACGAGACATGCGCGCGCGCAAGTTTAACATTTGGAAGTTTTGGTATTTAATGGTTTGGTATTTAGGTTTGGTACTGTGATTTCTAACACTGCCATTTGATTGAAATTGATATAGTAATTTTTAATGTAACGTGTGAAAACTAAGTAAACGGATACGACACAATGGACTGAAGATGGCACGTGTCACGCCGAATCATGTCTTTAAAAAAGTTTAATCGAAAGTTTGAAATTTGTTTTATTTGACCAAGTAGGCTTTGAAAATGCCAACGAGTTAATACCTTGTGCAGTGTAAAAATCATAGATGTCTGTGTTTATACGACAAAATCGCGAGATCTCAAGATGTAACCAAAACCGAAAACTAAATCACGGAGTTAAGATTCTTAATATTATAGTAGATGTTATATTTATCACTTGTCTTTAGTTACCAGATTATGGTCCAGTGCTGGCAGGAAAATCCAAACGACAGACCGACATTCCCTTCACTTAAAGACATTATCACTCGTATGTCTAAAAACAAAAATGTGAGTGAAAAATTACGTTTTTCTTTAGCCGTAGTAGTAGATTATTAGGTAGCACTATCATTTAAATGGATATGTTTTGAAAGCCTGTGTATGTTACTAGTTAGATATCTTAGGATTTAAACCAAAGAGATACATGTTGTATATGGTAGTCACGAAATCTGGCTGATAATTCAAAAGGAAATTAACGGCTCGCATATTTCCCGCTTGTGACCCTCCCCTAATAATCCCCTTTTGAATTGTGCGGGATTAACTTTCTTCTCTAAAACGGATGACTTGTTGCATGTATTATTATAAGTATTATCATTGTTGTTGTTGTTATTATTATTTTTATTATTGTTATTATTATTGTCATTATTATTGTTATTATTATTGTTGTTATTACTAGTATAGGTAGTCACACGATTTCGAGTGCAATTTTGAATAAACAGGAATGAATGAATTTTTTTGCAAAGACTAGCAAAATTACACGAGCTCGTAGGGCTCGTGTAATTTGTGGTCTTTAAAAAATTTACAAGTGCTTATTTATTCAAAATTGCACAAGAAAAATCATGTGATTAAGTATTAAAAATATATGTGAAAAAATACAAAATAGCTTATCATAATTATGCGGAAGCAAAGCGCGCGCATCAAGTGCAAAAATAATTTATTCAAACCCTGCCAGTGACTTTGTGCGTTCGGTCAAAACAACCGCGTACGATCAAAACAATAATATGCAACGATATTTTCACATCTTTAATGCGCAAAGAAGCCCAAAGTCCGGCTAAACAGTTTAAGGAATTGTTCAGTCTGGTTTGTTACTTCTTTGCGCTGAATTAACCCTCTTCTGCATTGAATTACCTGAAAACTGCATTTATCTTAACCAATCAGAATTGAGTAATTTTTTGATGCATCGTATTAGTACTAGTATTATCTTCATCATCATTATTACCATAACTTTTTTACATCCTCTTCCATATGTTAGACTTAGAACCATATTGACACACACTAATGTCAAGGTATTTTTCTTTCCTTTTCGTATTCAGGACACTTATTTCAACATGAGAGAGTATGATACCACCCTTTATGCGAATGTCGATGACCTATCTATGGAATGAACGAAGACAATCAGTTGCAACGTATCATAGAGGGAGGGGATCAGTTTTAAATATTCTTAGCAGACTGCAGAGTATGGTTACAGGTGCTTTGTCTGCCTTGCTTCAGTCTGGTTTTGAAGTTGATTCATCTTTAATGAACGTTCATTGTGCATTTGTTTTTGTTTGTTTCCTTAAATTCAGTCTCAAAATACCAAATTATTCCTCAATAGGTTTTGGCAGTTTTTAAACAAGAATTCAAACTCTCAAATTAACTTTTGACTTTGCTTTATCTACTTGTAAATCTATAACGAGTTTGGTGACCTCTATTTCTCATCCTCGAACGGCAGTCAGCATATTAAGATAAATCATTCTACAAATTTTTTAAAAACATTTCAAAGCCTGATCAAGTTTCTTATTATTTAGGGTGGATTTCAACGTTAATTACAAACATTTTTGAAGCTAGCACTACAATTGGTAAAATTCTGTTAATGGTATGAATCATAAATTTTCATTTTTTAGAAATATGCAGTCGGTTTTTTTTTTCACTGATTCGATACACGACCCTACAAGCAAATAGTATTTAGACTATAATAAGAATAATGATATTGTTTATGGTCTGTGATCTGCTAGAGAACAGATGCAACATGGAAACTATTTGTTATCCACTGAAATTAAAATGTTTACACTGAAGAAATGTAAAATGGTTTCCGTGTTTACATAGCCTGATGTAAACAGGCAGGAGATTGGGAGAACACGAGATAAGCGTAGGAAACCACGACGCGAAGCGGAGTGGTTTTCAGCTTATCAAGTGTTCTCCCAACCTCCCAAGTGTTTACATCAGGCTATGTAAACACGGAAACCATTTTACATTTCTTTTATAAAATAACTAATGAAAGAGGAACGAAAACCGTGTTTACCTACGCTCATGTAAAATGGTTTTATGGCCAATCAGAGCGCGCGTACTATTTGAATTATTTTATAAATTAACCTGCCACATAATTTTTTCAGGAGAGATAAATACTTACATTGAGAAACGACTAGGCAAATGAGTAATGGTTTTCGGGCGGGTTAAATGGCTTAAACGGAAGAGATAGGCGAAGTACTATTTACCTCCCAGCAGTCAAACAGGAACAAAGTAACCGTTTCGAGGAAAGTATTTCATGAAATGAGGTTGTTGTTCATGATTAAGGGTGTGAAATCAAACTTACCGTAAATTATATTTGTTTGATGTTCTGAAATAACAACTTTCACACACACACACACACACACATGACTAATCTTAACTACTCGGCACCACAATAATAGAAACCCTTATCTCATGGGTTCACCTCCTTCACAGGCTTGACTTTTTCAGGATTTAGTATCACTACTGCTTAAGGTAGCGTTCATTACTGCGAAGATCGCTCTCTTCTTTTTTTTTTTTTTTAATAATCCGTTGTTTAAACATATTATGTTTAAACACATGTTATTCATATACACGTCACTTCACAGGTTTATCACAAACCATCAAAACCAACAACTCCCAGTTGGCTTGTTCGCTAAGTTGGAAGAGCACTGCACCGATAGCGCGGTACGGGTATACGGGTGGGTGATAAACGCAATGCAAGGATATTGGCTGAATTACAATAACGTCAATTACGGCACTTGGTGTGTTTGCAAACGTTTGTTTGGTTCTTCTGTTGCTACTTGCCGGCTCGCTCGTTCTGAAATTTCTGTTCTCTGACAAAACACGCTCTTTTAACTCAATGACAGCGTGCGCGTTATATCCGAACTTTAGTATAAACAATCTTGGTCAATTAAGGATTTCTTACATAGCAACGAGATTTCGCCGAGAGTCGGAACGGAAAGCCAATGCAACTGCGTTTGTAACACAGTAAACCCACCAGTGCCGTTTACGTTTTCTTTGTTGTGACTGTCTTCTGTCGCGCTTTGCGAATCCATTGCTACATCGTTCAGGATATCAGCTTCATTTGATGAAAGTGAAGAGGGAGAGTGTAGGATCATACAGATGTACAGCTAGTAATGGATATGGAGATGATGCCACAAGTGTCAGCATAGTTGGCATAAGATGTAAGCAGTCTTTCCTGTATTATCAAGGCTGTTTCTCTGATTACATCAATGCATTTCCAAATTGATTATGCTTTAAATTGGGACCGGCACAATTGCATTTTGATTCATGGTTCAATTGCAAACAACATAATGGCGTAAACCCAGCACATTATAGAAAAGAAGTTTTCGCTTTCTGTTCCCTTATTCTGATCTCATTATAGTTCAGACTTTGTTTAAACTTGTAAAACGTGAGTTTGATACAGATACCTGTGGGTGGATGTCTTTGTGAAAGCGTTTTTGTCGGCAGCGCACTGACCTTCATAGGGTTCAAGTTTGATTTTGTTAATGTGAGCGCCAAGTATTGCTCAGAAATTTTTGTATTGAGAAAAGGTTTTGCTCGCGATAATTACCTTTCTCTTATCACTCAAGAATAAAGTCTTGAAAATTCTGAGAGTATCTTTTTCCCACACTTTGTTTCAATGGCTGGTTGGAACAGTTTAGTTGCCAAACGAGTCTGATTCAAAACCTTTTGCCTCAGAAGAAAATACAGAAACACAAAGATTTTAAAGACATTTTTTTCTTAAAACGTTCTCCAACTCGTGAAACATACTATTTGTAAAAGTGCGTGAAGATTACCATGTCGTTGGGGTAGCTGAGCGTATCAGCAAAGAGATCGCGCTCTTGGAAGAATGTAAAGAACTTTAATATTCAACGTAACTGTAAAAGAATATGGAATTATTATTTATGTGAAGACGTCTCTGTTCTTAGCTTGATATCAGCAATAATCGTTATTGAGTGTTTACTGACAAAAAGGTGGAATGCGTGCTAATTTCTAATTTTTTTTATTTTGTCGCACTGTAGGTAATGATTGTAAAATTAGGATAGTTCAAAATTTTGCAGGCAAAATTGTCATCAGATGTAAGCATGCTGCAGCATTTCGCAAGGACATTAGGTGACGCCTTTAGGGCAAGAAACCTTTTTATTCAATATGTTCACCATTCTTTGATGTTTGAGCGTAAAATTCCCTGTAAAAAAGAATTTGCGTATTTTTAAGATGTAATAATTAACCTGGCAAACCTATGGAAGCTTGTGTACTCCATGCTTTTTTTTTCGAGGTAAACGAACTTTTAACTTTAAAAAAATCGATTTTTTTGGATTTCTTACATTAGGTAGTAAACCAAAAATGCAGAAACGATGTTTTTTTATTTAGGATACTCCCAAATAGGTTTAGAGATCATATCTTAATGGCAATGGACAAGTTACAACGATGGATTGGAGAAGTGGATTAGTTACACATTATAAATGTGTAAATTTAACTCATCAAGTGAGAGAAGTGTTCTGTAAGGTTTAGGGCTGCGAGTAAAAAACTATTGTCTCAGACGATTGGATTAGAGCATGGTTTTTTGCTCTGCGTGAACATTTGAATTCTGAATTTTAGCGTTTCTAGAGTTAAAGATAACTCTTGCTCTTGTATTCAAGATTTCTTCAGTTTACGCCCAAAATCCTGGAAAACAGCTGTACATAGTGAGTCTTGTTGAATTTAGGTAAATGTCAAGCTAAGAACGCTCAGTGTATACATATTTTAATTGTCTTGGAGCAGTCGCTTTGCATCTTGTAATCCTTTATGTATGATGTAGTAAACTTTAACGGTTTACAGTTTATCGACGTGTTTACAAGTATTTTGAGATATACCGTATAAATATATATATATATATATATATATAGGAAGTCTGCAAGTCGATTTTCGCGTGGAACAGTGCTCAATACATTGAAGCAGAGCAGAATAAATATTATGAGAGGGAAAAAGGGACGCAACTACATTTCCCTAAATTTTTTCCCGACAAGCCTGTTTCGTGAATCGCTTCACTCTTCAGGGGTTTAATTGTATATTGTATGTATATATATATATATATATATATATATATATATATATATATATATATATATGGTGGTTTATTTTGAAAGATCGATCTTCAATAGAATGATGTTCATGGAAAAGATGAAAATGTGCCAACCGTTTGATATTATACAAACAGCTTTTATCAGCGACTTTTATTTCTTTAAATAGAGCTGGCAGTGTTGTTGCCATAGTAGAGCTGAAGTTTGGAAAATCTGTCAATTACCCTTTGAAACCACTGAAAGATAAAATAAAAGATGGAAAGCTTGGGTCATTTATAGTTGGGCCTGAAATTGAACTCCCTTCAACCACCGGTAAACCAAATGGGTTAAACATATTCAAGTATATAAAGGATATTACACACTACTCGGAAATGTGAATCTTATCTCGAATGTTGATAAGATCTATCACATGTTCGCTTCACTCACTCGTGAGAGACATTATCCACGGGAGATGATAAATTCGTATCCACAACTACACATTTAATGTCCTATTTTTCGTGTAGATATTAGTTGGATACATTTATGTCAGATGTAATGGAGAGCTCTCTTACACGTAAGAATAATACTTGGGCACGCGTAGATATGGAATATCTCCCTGCGTGTTCAACTCGATATCTGTTGAGTTGAGTTAAGCAAGCTTTTTATTGCGAAAAAACCAAAGGTCAAAAGTCTTTCGTTTCTCTTTCATGTAGCTTTGTTGTTATTCTTGTTGTTGTTATACTCAGTATAAGTACAAGTTGTACTTAGATATTTATATTAATTATGAACTTTCAGTCGAATCACATCTACACATCTACTCACCTTTACATCTAAATATACGTCTATCTGGCTAATAGTATAAATGTGCATTCATTTTGTGGCGTTAAACGTGTAGTATTTATCAATAATTTGTAAATTATGGTAGTGTCGCGCAAGCGCAACTGTTACTGTATAGTTAGCGAGCCCAGTTCGTGCACTATCGGAGAGATATGATCGTACTTTCTGGTGTCAGTCAAAATGCACGCAGCAAAGTTTAAAATTTCTTGCTATTGCTAAGTATCGTTTCGTTCAATTTAATGCATTAATGTATTAAACCTATTCTTGAGTAGTGTGGTTTTGTTTGGGGAAGCTGTAATTTAGGTCTACTAGATGGCATATTTAAAGAAAAAAAAAAGATGTGAGCGCGTTATATACCGTTATTACCTTGCTGTCTAAGTAATCCTGTCGCCTTCTGCTTGTATATACCAATAATATGAAGCGAATGTTATACTTTGTAATATTGTTAAACGGTGGAACAATGTTTATGATTTACTCTACTTTTCTACCGTGAATAAATTTAAGGGAAGTTACTGTCATTTTATCATGAAAAAATCCGAACCTTACAGCTTAGGAATTTATAGAATATTTAGTTATTTAATCAATTGAAAATTTTATTATTTTCATAATTGTGTGGTTGTAATTGTTATTTATAGGGCCATGAAGTAGACAACAGTCCTTAGCTGTAATTATGCACCCTTTCCAAACAAAGTGAGATCGATAAAGACTACGAAACACACTTCAAGAGCAAACTCTAGTTTCCTCGTGAAATAGAAAAATGTTAAGGCGGGGAAAAGTTCACATCGTGAAAATGGTAGAAAGGGTGCTTTCTCCCAGGTTGCAAAGGAAATAGCTTTGAATATCAACAGAAGGACAGACAACTGTTGCAATTATTAATTTAGCACAGGGATATGGACAGTTGATTTTTGTTTCAAGAAATTGCCAAATTGTGTCGGTAAAAATAAATCTGAGGTGTTCGTCTTGCTTGTTCGTGGTGCATGTTAAGGCACGGCCATTTTAACGACTCCTACCTTCTAATATGCTTTTTGACGTTGCCACTCAAGTTGCCACAGGCATTGAACAGCCAATTATCCAAAGAAGTATCCCATGCTGGTGTTAGAATCAAGAATAGGTTTAAAAGTGGAATGATTCATTAGTTTTTTACTGTATAGCTGCAATTGAAGGAATTGAAAAAGGGAATAGATTCGACAGTTTCTTTTGGTTTTATTTTTTCATAGAATACTTTTACGTCCTTTTGTGAATAAAATGCTCCTCAATCAAACAGAAAGGATCTCCTGTCAGAACTCTAAATAACATAACTGTTTATTCACAACTCAAATTCAAATGAAAGGTGAAAAGGAGACAAAATAAGTTATACCTTTCAAGTTTGTCTCGTAAAATAACCAAAAATACAAATTTACTTCAGAATAACATTCCAAATGAAATAGTTCCAAATTCCCTGAAACATTAGTAATATGGCATCTGAGTCTGTTCTTGAAAATGTTCAGAGTTTGTGCCTCCGTAACATCTTTATGGAAATTATTCCATTAATTGACTATATTTATAAAGAGAGAATACTTAAAACTATTTAGATTCGTGGGCAATGGTTTAAGTTTATGGCCATAGTTGGCTCTTAACGGTTGAAAATCATGTGCAAGCGTAAAATAGTCAAATGGATGTAGCCCTTTTAGACTGTGAACCGTCTTGTAGCACTCGGTAAGCGAAGAAAATAATCTTCTCTGATGTAGAGTTGGCCATTTAAGGAACTTAAAGCGCTCTTCACACGACGCATCTCTGCCAATGTTTCTGAGGGTAAATCTACATGCTATA